GCCCCAATCCAATTTATTTTTATTTTTAATTATATATATATGTATATACATATAAGAGGGAGTTATGTGCACATGAGTGTAGATGCCAACAGAGGCCAGAGGTGTCAGACCCCCCAGGAACTGCAGTTATAGGTGACTGTGAGCCACCTGACATGGCTGCTGGGAAGTGAACTCAGATCCTCTGGAAGAGTAGTACCTGCTCTTAACTGCTGAGCCATCTCTCTAGTCCTAAACTTTTTTTTAATGCTGCATAAGTTCCCACACTGCTTTTTTTTTTTTTTAAGTATGGCAGCATCTCTCTTTTAGGTCTCTTAAGTCAAGTATGACAGTATCTCTGTTTTAGGCCATTTACAGCTGACATAAGTAGAGTTACCATGTGTTTTCCCTTTGTCAGTTATTTTTTTTTCCATGCCCCTTTTCCTGCTCATGTATTGAATGTTTGGTTCCCATTGCAGCGATGTTCACAGGTGATTATAACACGAGGGCTTTGATGTCATCAATGGCTTATCCTTGGGTGCATTCATACTTAATGAAATACAAGGAAGTAGTGAAAGCTGTGGGCGATGGGCCTTGCTGGGACAACAGGTATGCCCATCAATGTATATCTAGTCCCTGGCTGCTCCCTTGACCCCTCTGCTTTCTAGCAGCTCTCCTCTACTGCACATTCTCAGCCATGTGGTTCTGCCTCAGTTTAGGCCTATAGCTACTGGGCTAAGTGACCGCTGACTAAAACCTTTAAAACCATGAGCCATTTAAAAAATATGTTCTCCTGGCTAGAATTCTAGGTTCTGGGTTTCTGTTAGAAGTTTAAAGATACTGGTCTATCATCAGTATGGTCTTGCATATTTCCTGACTAAAAGATTGTTTTATTTTTTCCCCCTATTTGTTTTCAGACTATCTTTGCATTCTTGGATAAACACATCCTCATTATGAAATCCTTAAAACAATTTTTTTTTTATTATTTCTCCAAAGAGAGGCAATTTTAAACACATTTTTCCTGAAATAACTTGAAGCAGGTGACATAAATATACATAACTAAATGAAGTTTAAAGGGGGAAAAATAGGAATAAGAAATTGAAGACCAAAGGATTTGCCAACATAGAGTCAACTTTGGTGGAATAATGAAGGTTTCCATTAGTGCTGTTCTTTTTTATTTTTATTTTTTAAAATCCTATTGAGTTTATTGGGTTTGTTAACAGAGCATAGGGTGGAGGTTTACTTACAGAAGAGTGGGTGCCCCCCCGACCCCATTTACAGCTGCAGTGGAAAGCCCACACTCAAATATAGATCCTCTGACTTCTCAATAGCCACATAAAATGGCAAGAGAGGTGTCTCATGGCATCTTGGCTTATATATCCTTAGCCCCTCCCCCACATGCAGCTAAGGTCGACTGATTGGGTATAAGGGGTAACTGACTCCCCCATCAACTCCTTGATGAAAGTGTGGGAAGGAGGTGTCACTATAGCTTGCTGGCATAGTGGTCAGAGGAAGATCATCCCATACCTATCACCTCCTCCAAGGCTCAGGGACTTTTGCCAAAGAGGTTGGTGGAAAGACTGTAAGAGCTGGAGGAGGGGGTGGAGTGTTACCTGGAAGTGTTCTTAATTTCTTTTTAAGGGCTGGAGATGGTGCTGTCATAAGTAAAGTGCTTGCCTAGCATGCACTGAGGCCCTTGGTTTGATTCTCAGCATAGAATAAAATCAAGTATGGTGGCACACCCCTGGAATCCCAACACTCTGGAGGTGGAGACAGTAGGATCAGAAGTTCAAGAGCATTCCCAGCTATGTAAAGAGCTTGAGGCTACTCTGCTTCCACGGGACCCTGTCTCAAAAGAAAACAAAAAAGTTGTTTTTTTTTTTTTAGCATTTATTTTCAGTACTTTGATTTCAAAGCATACTGGCCCGACTTTCTTTGTATTTATTCTGTTTGGAGTTTTCTTGTGAATCCTAGGATCTATAGTTTTATTGTTTTCATCAGATTTGGGAGGAAATTGGTTCTTATTTCTTTTCTGTGTCCTGCCTCCAGGTGATTTCCAGGATACTGTCACATTTCTTGATAAATGCCCCACACCTCCCTGAAACTCTTTTTCTCACTAGTACTCCCTTTGAATCATTTCTATCACCATGCCTACATGCCACCTGTGTTCTTTTGCAATATTCATAGTTATAATAGTTACTTTCACATCCCTGTATATTTATATCCTCTTCGTTAGTCTTCAGTCTGTTCTTACTGCTTGACTTTTATTCTGGTTTTCCTGATTTCCAACATGCCTACTACTAATGTCTGATTGAAAGCTAAAGATAATGAATTCTAAGTAGTGGAATGTCAAGCTTTTATCATTTTTCCTTTGAAGATTATTGGGCTTTGCAATGGCAGGAAGCTAAGTTATTTGAGTCCAATTAGATCCTTTAAAGATGTCTATTTAAATTTTGTTACTCTGACTCTAGAGAAGCCTTTCCTATTGGAGTTATTCTATTATTGAGGTGGAGCCTTCTGGAATCTGTGTTATGCTTGGAGTGATCCTCAGGATGCTCCATCACAGCTGGCTGGATCCAGTCTTGGGTGAGCCTGAAAAATGGTTCAGCTCCAAGTTCCTAGGGAGTTCTTTGTCTTACTTGTAGAGCTATCATATACCTACACCTCAGTATTATTAAGCAAAGACTCAAAAGAACTTCTATGCAGAACTCTTTTCTTCATAGAGTCCATCTTCCTAGATCTGCATCACAAGTCTAGGTCCCTCTGACTCTCAGAACAGTTCTAAGCTTGGGGGTTACACTTCCATGCTCATGGCTCACTGTACCCCAGGGGTGAGAGTGATTCAGAATTCAACTCTTTTGTCTTCTATCAGGGACAACAGTCCAGCACTGCCTTTGTGCTATGTCTAAAAAAATTGTTTCATTGTGCTTTATCTAGCTTCCCAGTTGTTTTTAAGTTAAAAGGTTAAATCTAGTTTCTTTTATTCTATCATGACCAGAAAAGATAGTTCTTCCTTATGTTTTAAAAATGAATCCTGGGCAATAGTTTGGCTGCACCTCAAAAACTGAAATTCTATTAAATATGACCTACCTAAATGCAGATCATAAAGACTTGAAAGTAGGGACTCACATAGGTGTTTGTGAATTCATATTCACATCGGCATTATTTGCAACAGTTGAAATGGTAAAAAGAATTCAGTGTCCAGCAACAGATTGAATGAAGTAACAAAATGTGGTATATACTCACAATGGAATATTATTCAATCTTTTTGTTTGTTTTTAAAAACAGGGTCATGATAAATAGGTAGCTCAAACTAGCTTTGAATTCCTGATGCTCTTGCTTCAGCCCCCTGAGGGCTGGACTTACAGGCATCTATATAGCTATAGTCAGTCTTTTTAAAAGAGAAAGAAAAAGAAATGAAATGCTACCACATGAATGAAGTTTGAAAGCATGATAAGTAAAGTAGGCTGTGAAAGACTGTACCTCTAGGAGGTACCTAGAACAAGAAATTCATAGAGTCAAATAGAAATTACCAGGTAGTAGGGGGAAGAGGAAGGCTAAGAGAAGTTGTTACCTTTGTGGTTTAGTGTGATGAAAAGTTAGGAAAATGGAAAGTGGTGATGGTTACATGACAATGTGACTTTAATAAATTTTATCAAACTGTATATAATGATTAAACTGGAAAGATGAATCTTCCCTCACAGTCTTTCAAATATCCAATAAAAATTCACATAATGCAATAAGTACATGTACTGCATGGTTATGCATTAGATCATCTTGGTATAAAGGAAAGCACTGGTCCAACTGCTAAAACTCAGATGGGATCTGAGTATTAGGTGGTGGTAATTTATCACTCTGTTTCCTAAGTTTGATGGCTGTATTGCATTTATGTAATGAGAATGTCATTGTCTGTAGGAAATATACACAAGTTCAGGATGACAGGGAGTTAAGTCACAACCATTCTCAATGGCTCAGGGAAAAGAAAATTATACTTTTTTGCAAATTTTTGGTGATTTTAGATTTTTAAAATATATAATAAGAGTTCTGAAAAATATTGAATAATGTCTTCATTAAGAGTACAATTAGTTGTAGTAAATTAATTGTAAAACACAGCATTTATCTCATGATAAATTTTAAACTGAAAAAGTATATTAAGATAAAAAATAATAAAAAAAATAAATCTTGAGTGGCTGGAGCGATGGCTCAGCAGTTAAGAGCACTGACTGCTCTTGCAAAGGACCTGGGTTTGAGTCCCAACACCCACATGGTGGCTGCAAACCATCCTTAACTACAGTTCCAGGGGAATGTGAAGCCCTGCAGCATTGCACGACATGGGTCACTTACACGCAGGCATACATTCATACATATAAAATAAAAATAACAAAATATTTAAGAAAAAAAGATTATTCTAAAAAAATAAATCTTGAAAAGATTAGGTTTAGATGCTGACAAAAATTTTGCAATGTAACTGGGTGTAACTCAATAGAAACCTCCTGTATTGTTTTTTTTTTCAAGTTAAAAAAAAATTGAGAATTTCAATTTGATCAAATCCATGCCCACTCCCTCCCCTCCAACTCCTCTCATATCTCCCCATCACTTTTTCCTGAACAACTTCGTGTATAACTAACTAACTAACTAACTAACTAACTAACTAATTAACTAACTCCCTCCCTCCCTCCCTCCCTCCCTCCCTCCCAAACAGGGCTTCTTTCTACTCTAACATTCCCCCCTCTGAAATGGTAACCCTAAAATCTTTTAGGGATTAGATAAGAGCTCCCAAATACTTTTGCCATTTTTGGCCTTTGGAACAGTGTATGTTGTCAAGAGGCCCAAGGACATGTTCATTTTTAGTCAAGAAACTGGCTACTTTTCTTTGAGGTCTTTTTACCCTAACTGCCTAGCCAATTGTTTTATAAGAGTAAAAACTGGAGAGGGGAAGCAGAATCAAAGTGGAAGAGCATAGGCATACATACACTTACTATCACCCATCTGGTGTGCAAGCAGCAGTCAACTCTCGTACTTACACAATGGTTTTTCCGATGTGCATGAAGGATTTTTCAACAAATTCTCGGACACTATGGACCTCCCCAGTAGCTATGACAAAGTCCTCTGGCTCATCATTCTGCAACATTAGCCACATAGCCTAGAAAGAAAGAAGTAAAGCCATGTGAGAGTTGTACTTAGTGGCCACTGTGGGAATACAATGCTGTTCAAGTTCATGGTTGGATATGGACGAGTATAGCTAGAAAAAGAGCGGGAATTTAATGTAACATTCTAACTACTAAAGATGGTTCTCAAGACTTTATGTACATCAGAAACATCTGGGGAACATCTTGGTATGGACGCTTGGCTCAGTCAAGGAAGTACAGACTCTGTAGGAAGCTTTGCCTTCAACAGCCCAGGAGATTCCTACACAGCAGGTCTCTCTAGACCACAACTTGAGAGGAAAATGTTGAACAATGTTCAGTGAACAACCTTTGTATTTATGGAATATTTATGGAAACATTTATGGAAAGAATAGTTCCAGAAGCATTGTTTAATTGTCCTAGACATCAGTATGATAAGGCAAGAAAAAAATCATTTGAACAGATTAAAACCTGAATAATTAAAGTCCCTCCAAAGTAGAATCTCATTTCTTAATGAAGCTGAAGGCCCAGCAGTATAAAACAAGAATAAAGCAACACAAACAAAAAACGTTAGTGCAGAAATAATCACAATAGAAAGTAATAGAATTTTAAAAAGAGTTGTTTAAAAAGCAATACAATTTCACAAGACAACATTTCTGGATCCAGAACGGGTGCTTAAATTCCACGCTGTGATAGAAATGGATATGTCATTGAGGAGACTGGTGAGCAAAAACACACCAGCGCTTTGAGCCTCAGATTTGTAACCACCACAATCTGCCTCTCCTTGGTTAGAAAAGCATTTATCATAAATTTTTTAAAATTTAAAATTTACCATAAAGCATATAGGGCAGATAACTTCCATAGCTTAGAACTGAACATTTACTACACAGTTTATTTTATACAGACAGGGATGCAGCTTTATTTTTAAAGTGTACCTAGATTCTGAGAGAACACGTTTCTTTAAGAAAGATCTTAGCATGCCTCAGGACGTAGCTCAGTGATAGAGCTCATGCTTTGTGTTCAGTCCCCAGCAGTCCCACCCCCTCCCAAATCTTAAGCAAAGACAATTTTGTCCCCCTACTACTCTTACCCACTTCTTAGACTACAGATAGGCAAAAAGGAACCCATACTTCATTCTGACAGTCCCCAGTGATCTGCTCAGTGAACTTTTGGTGTGGCACTTAGAGAAAATCACTCTGGTGAGTCTCTCTAGCTATAACCAGAGAAGCTGAAAAAAGGTTTTACAGAAATCACTGAGCCAGTAAGGTTTCTCTTAGAAAATGCCAGCAAGAAAACTTCATTCCTCTTTATTTATTTGTATTTATGCAAGAATATAAACTCTTTAACAAAATAAAATGCATCTACTTACCTTTCCTTTGAAATTATTTCTTATGGGTACTTTAATATTTTTGGTCCATTACTATTTCAAATCACAATTCTGTTTTATAGAGAATGCAAGTTCATGCAATTTTCTATGCTTTGTGGCATGGTGGGTGGGTCAATGGTAATCACCTCAGCCTTAAGTCAGTGACTAAAAAGTAACTGCAGAGGAAATTGTCATGGTGGGGGAAAACACACACACACACACACACACACACACACACACACACATTTAACTTTTGGAGGCATGGCCTGGCTAAGTAGCTCAAGTTAGCCTCAAACTTACGATCCTCCTACCACAGCCTCCTAAGTGCTGTGATGTATCAGCTGAAGGAACACTTTTGTTCATAATAATGAATATCTGTGGCTTCACTTTACACTAAAAGGTGGTGGTGGATGAAGTTAGTTGCAATACTTTTTTTGTTTTGTTTT